CTCTTCTGCAACTCTATTTTTCATACAGTAAGAGTTATTTTTGTTGTGATTTCTTAAATTTGCTTTGATGATTTATAGTCCACATGGGACATTTGATAATTTTCTCCTTCTGACTTATTTCACTCAGCATTATCACTTCAAGTTCCATCCTTGTTGTCCCAAAAGGCAAGACTTCCTCCTTTTTCACAGCTGAATAGTATTCCACTCAGTATAAATATACCATGTGTCCACCATGGGCATTTAGATTGTTTCACTTTCTTGGCTATTGTGAACATGCTACTATGAACAGGGGTGCATACAGTTTTTCAAATTACTGTTTTCATTTTCTTTTAAAGATTTATTTATTTATTTATACAAGATTCACGGGAGGGTGAGAGGATTCACCAGAGACAGAGTGGGGAGCAGTACAGGCAGACTGACTGAAATACAGGGCAGTGGGCGAGACAGGAGAGGTCTGCCGCGCCATGTAGGACCCTCGCTGGTCGGCTGGGATCGAACTGGTGCTGCAGAGACTGTGGACAGCTTCGTAGCGCTGCACTCAACCCGCTGCACCACCCGGGGAGGTCCTGTTTTCACATTCTTCAGATGAATACCTGCAAGAGGCATTACAGGGTTGTGTGGTATTTTCATTTTCAGATTTGTAAAGAATCTTCATTCCATTTTCCAGAAGAACTGCACCAACTGACCTTCCCACTGATGGTGAAAGAGTTCTTGTCACACCCTCACCAACACACATGGTGCCCAGGCTTTTTTGACACAGCCATTCCATGCTTGTTTTGTCCCCACAAAGACTGTGAGTTGGTGCATTATGCCTCTTCAAAAGGGGAGTCATTGGGCTTCCCTGGTGGCACAAGGGGTTAAGCACTGAACTATGAAGCAATCCTCAGCCTCTGCAGCACAAGTTCGATCCTCGGCCGGCCAGGGAGCAACCCACATGGCGCAGCAGACCTCTCCTGACTCGCCCACTGCTCCCCTCAACAGTGTATTTCAGTCAGTCTGCCTGTTCTGTTCCCCGCTCTGTCTCTGGTGAGTCCTCTCACCCCCAGTACCTCTGGCCTATACCCCAGCTCTTGTATGCATAAATAAATAAATCTTTTTTTTAAAAAAAAGGGTGGGGGGAGTCGTTTAATGCTTAGAGACGTGAAATAGTCGCCTATGGCCCATGAGTTATGTTAAGACAGTCCTTGGTTCTGTGGGGTAAGCGGCCCTGGTGGATCTTCACACTAGTTTATCAGGGAGGGAAACACAAAGGGGACCGCGGGCAGGGACACACCTTTGCTGGAGCATCCCAGACAGACCTGGGCGGTGGATGAACGTAGAGCTGTAACTTGGAGACAGATCCCCTGGTTCTGGACCACCTCTGCTCCCCAGCAGTGGGTTTGGGGCAGCCTCGCCCGCCTCTCAGTCCTGGCGGCTCTCCACTGCGGGCGCCCTGAGGCTGGCCTGGGCTGGAGGTTAGCTGTCTGCTTTCTATTCGGTGCTCTCTGGCTCATATTTTCGGAGAGCAAATCAGTTTGCTTTCTTATTACAAATACTTCATCTTCCTTCACATAAATGCTGGTGAAGATGAAGTTATATGTCCCCAGAGGGAGTTTATTCTCCATGCCAAGCCACAGTTCCGCTTGTGTGGCCCAAAAAGTGGCAGTTTTCATCTCCCGATGACAGCAATTAGAGACGAATGTAGGGGCGGGGCAGGCGCTGAGCCAGGGATCATCATCAAGACCCCCCCAAACCTCAGCCAGATTTGGGGTCCTCTTCTTGAGCAGTTTCCAAGGCCCGTGGCGCCTAGGCTGCTCTCCGGCCTGCCCGTGCATTTGTTCGTTTAACCCTCGAGCAACGCCATGGAGTTGTTATTCCCATTTCACACTTGAGCAAAGCGAGGCAAGGAAAGGGGCGATCCTGGCCGAGGAGAAACCAACCACAGTCCCAGAATCTGCTCCCAGGTAGGCCCATCTGTTGGCCAGACTGGAGACAAGAGTGGATTTTTGACCAAACAACCCCCTCCTCAGACCCCAGGGTGACTTTCCTGGGCTGGATGGAACATAGTCAGCGGAGAAACATCCTCTCCTCTGCCTCACCTTGGCCTCCTCCTCTTCAGGGGCCCCTTTCCTGCCCTGCAGGGGTTAGTGGGGACCACTGGTCTCCTGGGGCTCCTGACTTTGGTCTTGAACTCACCCCCAGACCCCTGAGTTGGGAGGCAGGCACCCCCAAAGCACAAGCCCTACCCCAAGTGTGGGAAGGTTCCCAGCTGAGAGCTTGCAGCACCACCGCCTTAGCTATCCCACCTGCCAACCCTCCGCTGGGCACAGCCCTCGCAGACTCAGACGAAGAGGGAGGCCTGGGGCCCGTCTCCTTCCCCAGGCTCACTGTCCACCTCACCCCTCCTCTGTTCTCCCTCCCTCCCCTCCTCCTCTTGCCATTCCTCGGGGTCCTCTGGCCTGCCGTCCCTCCAGGGAGCCTCCCCCCAGCCCAAGGGCTTCTTTCTTCTTTGGGTTGACGTGGCCATTACTGTCTCCCCAAAGCAGAAGCTTTGGCCTATTCTACCCCAGTTGGTTGAGCCCATCCCCCCTTCCCCAACGAAGTCTCCTGAGGCAGGAACTGAACATACTCTGCCTCCCCACTGCAGCCCCCCACTGCAGCCAGAGCAGGCCCCAGTCGGGGCCGAAGTCATAAAAGCTTCTTGGGTTGACCTGAAGGTGCTCCTTGTGACCGGAGCTTCCGTCCCTTCCTCTTAGCCCCCAGGCCTCACTCCCCAAGACCCACTGCTCAATGTCTCCCGGGGGGTCAGGGCCCCCTTCTCCTTGGGTAGTCGACCAAGATTTGTGCCTGGGAGGCCCAGGGCACTGTGGGTCAGCGGGTGAGGCCACAGCCGAGGCTGGCATTGGCTGATAATGATGAGATTACACATGAATGTTTTCTCTCCAAACACCAGGCCGCAGCCATCCTCGGCATAAGGCGGACCCGGGCGCTTCTCTGCAGCTGACGGGCTCGGGTCAGGGAAAGCAGGTTTTACGACTGTTTACAGGAAAAGGGAGAAGCTCCAGGGAGCCCAAGAAAGACCTTCTGTTGGGGGACCAGAGGGGCTGAGGCATCCACAGGGGCTGGGCCGCATCCCTGGTCAGTTCCCAGCCAGGGCAACAGGTCACAGAGAAGAGCCTGTTCTTCAGGTAAACAATATGAGGTATTTGCCATTGAGAGGCGCCTTTGTAACCAACGCTGTCCAAGCGCCAACCCCATAACCGGGAGGTGGTTGAGATGGGGGGATCCAAGGGCGTGGCACAGAGGGGTCATTCGACCGGGACTTCACAATCACACACTAGTGAAGCTCTTCATACAGTCACCACAGAGCTGCCAGGATGGACCGAAGAGGACAATCGTCCCCAGTGTCCTGGGGCAGACCACAGGCCACTATGAAGTAATGTGGTTTCTAAACCCGATCATTCTTGAGACAGGCACAATCCTACTATATTGCATCCTCATGAAAACATGACTTTATGTCAATATTTTAAATACTCTGATTTCCAAGAAGCAAAGACGCCTCCCTAGCAATGAGCACACCTGGGGGCCAGATCTTGGTCTCTGACACGGCTCCCACTGAAAGGCGCCCAGGATCCCCAAAGAGAAACTGTTTCCAAGCCTGAACCCCAAATATTCATTTCACGTCACAGGAATCTTCAAACCCAGCAGAGGCCAGACCTCTCTTGATCTCTCAGTCCTAAGAGCCCCTATCCAGACCTTGCCCTCTCTCCAGAGGAGTGGAAGGAAAGTCTCTTCTACGGTTCTAGTCCACACTGGGGCACCAGTCACATGACCAAACACTTGGCCGACTCCTTCGGATTTTGATACCTTGGAGAAAGCCCAGGTTTTGCTTAGGATGCAAACTGAGAATGCCTGCATAAACCAGGCGCCTCCCCACCATCCTGACCCCTTCTGTCCTCATTGCCTTCATTCTCTCCGCTTTCTCTCAACATTTATGGGGTGCTGGCTCCCATGTTTAGGTTCTAACCCAAGCCTCTTCTCTGATATGGAGAACTCAAGACCTTTGTAGTCAACGACATCCTTGACAACTGCTTCCCAGAGGAAGCTCAAAGTCACCAGTGGCAGATCCAAACTCTTCACCTTCTCATCCTAAACTCATTCTTCTCCAGGATCCCCTGATGGAGCAGCACCAGGCAATTGCAGAAGCCAGACCCTGCCTCTGAGGTGTCCGTCCAGGCAGCTGCCCCTGCCATCTCCATGTCAACACCAGAATAGCGTCCACGTCCACCACAGCCAGCTCCAGGAATAGCCAATGGGTCTTCTCAAAATGAAAATCATAAAGTCCCACCCTCCCCTGGAATCCTCCTAGGTGAAGGGTGGGGGAGGGAAGAACCTTCTAGAACCACCTAGCTAACTTCCGTTTATCCTTCAACTCTAGCTGACATCTCTTCCTACGTGACCAGTCTCTGCACCTCACATTTCTTGGCACAAGAGCTCACTAGAGCTGGGTTGAAGTTGACAGGTCTGGGAAAGAGAACTTCTGTGGCAAGGACATGGATTTAGAGCTGGGACAAACTGAATAAAGAATATGAAGTGGTGAGGGAGAAACGGCCTCCCCAAAGCAGATGGGAGACGGACCTTCCAGGCAGGGCTTGTCAACCCTGTACCCCAAAAGGAAGACATGCGTGGTCAAGCCAAAGGGTCTTCAAAATCAACAAATAGCCCATGGGTCCTCCTGGCCAGAGCATTCAGCATCACGTGCACTTCCTCAGTCTGTGGTACATGTGAGCTGCAGAGCTGTGCGCTGGGGAGGGACAGGCAAGAGCAACTTGGTTGGAACCTGGGTGTGACCAGAGGACAGAGTCTGGGCATAATTTCCGATCTCACAGGGTCTTCATACATCCTCAGAGCTCCAGCCTGCCACTTCTCGGAGTGCGGCCTGGTACATTTTCCAAAGATGCTGTGACAGCATCTCCCAGCCTTTCCCTCCTTACTGTGACTTTGACACACAAGCTATGTCACAGTAGGCATGTGACTGCAGCTGGTCTTTTGGGACACTCGCTTCAGGGCCCTGGGTCACCAGGCAAGAAGCCCAGGGTTCTCTGACTCCACGCTCCCAAGAGAGGCAGATGTGAGCGTAGTCACTCCACCTTCATGTCCCAGCAGGTGAGGCCCCACACAGCATGGGGCAGAGACAAGCTGTCTCTGCTGTGGCCTGTCCACTCCTAGGCCCAGGAACTATGGGCAGAGGAAAATGTCACTGAGGGTGCCGGGTTTGAGGTGGTCAGTTATGCAGCAACAGAAACCCCATGCACAGGTGTTCATAGATGTTATGCCAAAAACGGGGAAAGGGTTCATGTGATTAATGTTCTAGAAAGTGCTTCTTTACACAAATTTCAAGTAAAACAGGCTTTTCTCTTCCCACAGGGCTCCTTGCTTTTAATAGGTAATGTGTACGGAGATTCTCCAAGGGTGCCTTGGGGCCTGGCGTTCCTGTCCACGGCAGCAGAAGGCTGATGGGCCAGGCCCAGTCCCACAGAGAAGCCATCTAAGACCCCAAAAGCATCAAGAGACCTCCAGGCACAGCTGGGCAGGTCGGAGCCCAGGTGCCCTGATGCCTGGCTGGGGGCTGGTCTTCAGGGCTGGGCTGCTCCAGGGCCTCCTTGTCAGGCCTGTGGGCTGAGCAGAGTCAGATGGAGTCCCTGGCTTTCACGCCCTCAGCCTCTCCTCCCTGCTTCCTTCCTCACTTTTACCTGCACCTGCGCCTAGTTTTTCTGTGAGAGCCCCTGCCCCCTCCACGGGCAGCTGGAGAGACAAGGGAGAGGCAGGAGTGGGCTGCCCCAGCCCTGTCCCCCGCCTTCCCTGCCCCCAGTGCACTCACTGCCCACCTCCACCGCCTACCTCAGCCCCTCACAGCTGGGCCGCCTCGAGAGAGCAGAGCGAGAGAGCAGCTCCTCTGTCCTGAACACTGCCTGTTGTGCCCCCAGGAGCTGCTGGCTCCTCCTCCTCCCCCCGGCCCGGTTGGAAGAGGAACACAACCCTCCCTTGTCCCTCCTCTTGATATTTCCAGTAAAAGCACCTCGAACACAATCTCTCTGCCACAGCCCTAATTATGTGTGAAATCATTTTTTTTTAGCTCAAAACCAAAGCAAACAAGCGCACACAGAGAAGCCCATTCTCCGAGGCCCAGGAGGAGCGGCCTGGCTCCTGTCGGGTTACCTCAGGCCTGCACAGAGCCCGCTGTGTTCCGCAAGCTGCGCCTGGCCAAGGTGCCTCCCAGGCCTGACCAGGAGGCAGGCCACCCCCCGGGGAAGAGCGGCCTCAGTGCTACATTCTCTTCACGGGCTCACAGAGCCTCACACAGCCGGGTGGACCATGAGGCCACAGGAAAGCCCTTTTTGAAAAAAGTGGGGTTCTGGTGGGGTGCAGAGAGCTTTCCCCAGAATACCAGGATGGCTCTCCCAATGCAGTCAAATAAGTTTTTACCTCTGATGACTCTGTGTGTGTGTGTATGTGCGTGTGTGCATGTGCGAAACACAGAGAGGGAGAAATATATTATCGTATTTATCACAAACCATAAGACTCAAGTTTTTAAGGGAAAATTACGTTTGGGGGAACGGTGTCCTTGGCATGACAGCTTTTTAACACTCACTCTCTTTGGATGAGAGGGGTGGTAATAGCAGCAGCTGGGGCCTATTTTGATAAATGTATAAGTTGCATAAACATATGAAAGATCTTCATAACCAGTATCTCCCAAATGATCAACTCATGAAGCTAAAATGGCATTGCCTGAAGTTAAAAAACTGAAATGGTAATATTGTGGAGATTTCTATTACTGAATGAACTAAATATAATATTTTGTCATAATCTCCTTCTGTTACTCAATTATCTTTGATCAGACTTCCACAAGACCTTTGCATTATCTTTCTTTTTTTAAAAAAAAATTTTTTTTTAATTTTATTTTGTGTAGAAGAACTATTGGGGTACAGGCCAGAGGTACGGGGGGTGAAAAGATTCACCAGAAACAGAGTAGGGAACAGAACAGGCGGATCTACTGAAATACACTGCTAAGAGGAGCAGCGGGGAGACAGGAGAGGTCTGCTGCCCTGTGTGTCATCTCCCTGGCTGGGGATTGAACTCAGGCCATCTCAGTGATAGCCTATGTGAGACTTGACAACTAGGCCTCCAGGAGGCCCTCCCTTGGATTATCTTTCTGCCATGGAATGTGATGGTGTCTCCCCATCCCCAGCTCCCAGAACAAAGAAAGCATTAACACCTGCCTGTGCTCATTCGGAAGATGTTTATTTCATTTTCAGTTTCAAAACGTAATATATTTGATGAGTCTTTAATAAATTCATTAAGATAAAAGAACTCAGTGGCTATTCATTATGGAATCTCAGTGGCAAATTTCTATTCAAAGGAAAATCTTAGATACTACTCACATGCGACTGGAAACATAAGACTGGAGATTGGTCCCTGCCCTACTTCTACCACCAGTTTCACATCTGAAACTTGAACTCATTAAACCTTCCTATGTATATATTTATCTAAACAAATATAAAATCACTACTAGGCACCCAAAGAAAATAAATCAAGTGAAAAGCAATATTTGTTATTAAAAAAAAATGAAATGGCGATGCAAAATCTTACAAAGTTATGCCTGAGCACAAGACTCAGCCAAAGTAGAAGGGAGAAAGGAGGGAACACAGACTCTTCCATGAGATTTATGATTTGGGATTCCACATTGCAACAAACCTTTAAGAAATTCCCACTTACGTATTTGCATAGCATCAAAGAAAATGTTTGATAACTACTTTTTGAAGCTGTAAAAATACGCCTCCCTCCTCCTACCGCATTTCTATGCGAAACCTGATCCTCTTCCTGTCTTTAAACCAAAAAACACATCATTAAGTGACATTTTCTTCATTTTATTTTATTCTTTTACTTTAGGGTTTCAGGTACCCCAAAGTAGAGAAAACCCTACATGTCATTGGTCATCCATGACCACGTTCTTGGCTTCCTCTTCTTCTTCTGCTCCCTCTTCCTTCTTCTTCCTTCTCCTTGGACGACGGCAGTCTCATCTGGTTGGTGCGTGTTCTCCCATCTAGATGGGCAGCTTGCGAAGACACAGCTAGGGTGGAGACATGTGCTTTTAACTTATGTCATGTGATGCCGTTAGAGACTCAGTCTTCATATGGCGATGCAGCCCTCCAATGACTACTCACTGCAAGGGTCCATGTGCCTGGTGATGGCTGCCAGGCACCTCCACTTCCTGTGCCCACAAACAAAGTAGCAATGAACACCCCCGTGCATGTCCCTTTGTGGATAATCTCATGATATTCTTGGGCGTCTAAGTTCAGGATTTGGGTTGCTGACTTGCAAGAAGACGCACTCTGGTTTTGCCAAGTGCTGAGGGGCTGATTTCCACAATGCCCACAGGGGTTTACATTCTCACCATAGGAGTGAGGGTCCCCACTTACTCGCATCTCAGCAGTACCTGCTATTCCCCTACTTTCTACTCATGTCCAATATTTGAGTATACAAAGGGATTGCTTTTTGTTTAACTATTATTCTTGAGGCTATTGAGGTAAATTCTCTCTTCAAAAATTCTTAATCATTCAGGGATCACCTTCTGTAAGTTGCCCACTTAAAATCTTTTCTTTACCATTTTTCTACGTCACACACACAGTCCTACATCTGCCGAAATTGTCATTGATATGGCATCGGCTATAGATTCATTAAAGTGCAGTTTGCATCCTTGCAACGTTAAGTTAGCCCATCCAGAATCACCGTCAACCACCAGATAACCGGAAACATAATGCAAACCACTTAGACAATTTTTAAAAATTGTAGTAGTAACACTAAAAGAAACAGGTGAAATTCATTTTAATAGCACATTTTAGTAAACCCAATATATCCAAACGATCATTTCAACATGTGATCAACATGAAAAACATGAATGACATTCTATTCTTTTGTTGGATTAAGTCTTTGAAATCCAGCTTTCATTTTACACTTAAGTATGTTTTGGTGAGAACTAATCACATTTCAAGTACCTGTGTGTGGCTGGTGGTTTTGGATAGCACAGAGCTAGTCCTTTATTCATGTCTCCATTTAAGATTTAATATTATAATTTTTATTGATAACCATCTCAAGCTCTTTTTTTTCAAACAGGGCATTTTTGTTTCTATCGTAAATGATCTGTTACTTTTGTGTTGGTTTTCCTGGAGTGCAGAAATCTTTTTTAAAAAAGATTTATTTATTTATGCATACAAGAACTGGGGTGTAGGCCAGAGGTGTGGGGGTGAGAGGATTCACCAGAGACAGAGTGGGCAGCAGAACAGGTGGATCCACTGAAATCCACTGCAGAGGGGAGCAGCGGGGAGACAGGAGAGGTCTGCTGCGCCATGTGGGTCACCTCCCTAGCCGGGGAGTGAACTCAGGCCTTGGCAGTGATAGTGCTGAGACTCAACCCCTTGTGCCACCAGGGTGGCCCTAGAGTGCAGAAATCTTATTGAGTTTTCTTTACATTGATCGTGAATGGTAAATTTGCTAAACTCTTTTTAGTATCAGAGGTTTGAAGATTCTGCTGGGTTTTTACATAGCTGATCAACTTATTTATAAGTAACTTTTTTTCACTCTTCCCTTCTAATTATTCTATTATTTGTTGTTCTCTTATTTTATTGACAACATCACACGTCGATGGGGGGCCCACAATGGGTGGAGAGGGGGACAGGTGAGGATGAGGAGCCCCCACTGAGGATCGGGGCGAGGGCGGGCCCAGGAGACACCTGAGATCAGCACCATCAGGCAAACCTGCCCCGAGCCCAGCCCCACAGCCCACCCTGCCCCCTGGACCTCACCCCTGGAGAGGCTGGGGCATCAAGTTGCCGACAAAGCCCGTGGAGTAAAGAAACGCTGTGCCCATGCCTCCTGTCCCCAGCCAAGGGGTACACGCCACACCCATGAGGTGGCCCTAAATCTGGACCCTGCAGGGGTTCCATTGGGGCTGGAATCAGAATGTAAAGTGGGTTGAGGGTCCCCCAGTTTTCATCACAACAGAATAACACAAAGAGTGGCCTGTTTTGTCTAGAGAGATAAATCTACTAGGCTGGTGGCTGCACCCACGGCCTCACTGGCCTGATGGGCTCTGGCCCTGCAGATCACCGGTGCTCACAGTCAGCAAGGTGTTGCTATCACCTGGGGGTGTCCGCAGAGCTGCAGCCTGGCTCTGCACCTCCAGAGACTCAGGCCACAGGGCACTGGGATCCAGCTGGGCGTCAGGCGCCTCCAATGCTGCCGGGTGACACTCTGCCAGGCCAAGAAGCACTGAGTCAGCACACCCAGAGCTGAGACACCACCTCTCCCAATACCCAGGCTACCCCACTCGCAAGGGCAGCAGCCAGCTGCAGGGAGTTCTGGACTGTTCTAGAGGACAGCATACAGGCCCCCTCTCCTTCACAACCACTAGGCTCCAGGATCAGGCCAGAAAGAAAACGGGTAAAGCTGAGTTGGGTCCAGGCCCTGCGGCCAGGGTGGCCTGGTCAGCAGGGTTTGCACCTTTTAGCAATCGGGCTGAACAGCATGGCCAGAACACCGATTGGGTAGAGGGAGGAGGGAGGCTCGGCCAAATGTGAAACAGGGCGTAAGCGCCAGTCAGCGTACTACGAGAAGCCACCCAGACGCAAACAAACAGGGCAGACCATGACGGTTAGGGGACAACCCACCATCACAGATCCCCTGCAGTGCCAGCAGAGCTGCCTTCTCTCACCCCTCCACACCGGAACTTTCCACCAGGCCTGGACCTTGTAACTTGAGCATGATGTGGCCATCTCCAGACAAAGCCAGCGAGTCCACGTCGGTGGGGAAGGTGACAGGCAGCCTTGACTCAATGAGCCTTGTGTTCAGCATCAACCAGCCCGGGGCGTAGCCAGGCTCCAGGGAGGAGTGTGTAGGACAAACGTGTTAGGTTCCTACAGCTGTTACAACAGATTCCCAGAACCTTGGTGTCTTCGAATAACAGAAATTTATTCTCTTGCAGTTCCGAAAGCCAGCAGCCCTAAATCAAGGCGTCAGCAGGGAGGGCTCAGGGACAATCCATCCCTTTCCTCTTTCAGGTTCCGGTGGCTGCCGGCATTTCCTGGCTTGTGGCCACATCACTCCAATCCCTGCCTTCTGTGTGGTGTGGAGTCTCTTACAAGGGCACTTTGGGGACTAGACCATGGACAAACTGGGCCTCAGTGGGATTCTACCAAATGTTCAAGACCTCCACAGGGTGCACTGGGCTCTTCTGACAGCAGTGACCCCACACAGGGTCACCAGGGGCCCCCAGGGTGCCTGGACATGCTCTCCTACTCTGGCAAGGACTCCGGGCCCCAAGACAGGAGTCCCAGGGACTGAAATAGGCAGGAAGGCCCAGTTCTCACCCGGCCACTGGGAGACAGGCCAGCGAGACACTGGGGCTGGTCCCTACAGTTCAGCTTTGCCTCCTCCTGGTTC